TGGGACTACAGGCGCTCACCACCAAGTCAGGCTAATTTTGGTAGTTTTTGGTAGAGATGGAGTTTCACCATGTTGGCCATGCTGGTCTGGAACTCCTGACCTCAGGTGATCCACTCACCTTGGCCTTTCATAGTGCTGGGATTACAGGTGTGAGCCACCGTGCCCGGCCAAGGACCCCCTTCTACCAGACAGAAGCCAAGATGCACAGACTAGGGGGCAGATTATCGGCTGGATTTGAGCCTTCACTCACATCTTTAGTCCAGGGACTAAATATATGTATATATATATAAATATGATTGGGTGTGGTGGCTCATGCCTGCAATCCCAGCACTTTGGGAGGCCGAGGCAGGAGGATCACTTGAGTGCAGGAGTTCAGGACTGGCCTGTGCTACATAGGGAGACCCTGTCTCTGCAAAAAATTAGCTGGGTGCAATGGCGTGCACCTGTAGTCCCAGCTACTTGGGAGGCTGAGGCGGGAGGATCGCTTGAGACCAGGAGTTCGAGGCTGCAGTAAGCCATGATTGCACTACTGCACTCCAGTCTGGGTGACAGAACCAGACTCTCTCTCTCTCTTTCTCTCTCTCTCTCTCTCTCATCGGATATATGTATCAGAGGCTAGGAAGAGGGGAGAGGGGGATGAGGAAAAAATAAGAATACAAATGTATTTATTTATTTATTTATTTTTTATTTATTTTTTTTTAGGAATTTAGCTTTTATTCAAAATTAAATAAGGAAAAGCAAAAATTTTAAGAAATTTTTACAAATTACTTACATAAAAGAAAGTTAATAAGGATAGTCACAAATTTGCAACAAATAATTACAAAAGTTTCTAGGGCAGCATGAATATAAACCATGTCACAGCATGGTCATCTAACTGTGATATGAATAAGGCATAACTAGCATTTGCTCCGAGACCAGAATTAAAAACAAAAACAAACTTTAAAAGCTTAGTTCTATATTAAACCTCTTCTCTTCTCCCAGATCCTTAATGGGTTTATACTATGTATTTTTTTTTTTAAACACATCATGTCAAACTATAAATTATATAAATGGGCAGTTAATGTGACAAGCCTCCTAAAATGTACAAACTAACTGGTAGTGAATTGAGTTCTCCTTTTACCTTTACGTACAATTAAATGTAAACCATATTTTCACAGTTTTGAGTGTTTTATGAATAGATGCACAGTACCATGTCAGGTTTACAGTTGTTCCTGAAAACTGGCTCTAGGTTCTGCATCCAATGCCTGTCGGCCACTGTGATGCAAGTATTTACATAAATAAGAAACTGTGTCATAGTCAATGGTCAAGACAGTTCAGCAAGAGCAGTATTTCCAACAAAGAATGATCCTCAACACGATATTTTACATACTTGTGCAAATATAAGCATTAGGACAGATATATCTGAGGCAAATTCAATTTCCAAAAACTTGTATCGCTACTCTTGTAAACTTGGACAACAAATGACCCTCAGCAAGTTCTGCTCTCTATGGCTTTTTTGTTCGTTATAAAATTTTAAAGCCAGAGAAAATGCACACACACTACCCAACCCCCACAAGCACGCACGCACGCACACACACACGCACACACTCACAGAGTTCTTATTTCATTTTTAGAGTATAGTACATACTGCAACTTCACAATGTAGAGGTTTAATACACATTCAGTGCGTGTTTTTCTGTGCAAGTTCTTAGTGGTCTAAATCCTAGTTGAAGGTATTTATTTGCAAAACCACATGATTCAGGAAGTTGAAGGAAAAAGAAAAGTTTCATTACATTTCTGAAACCAGCACTAGATGTGCAAAGGCAGCCATCTACCTTTGGCCATCGATGCAGCCAGATTAGGGTAATTTTAAAGGGAGATCCAAGCAGTTACTTAGATTGGTCTCTAGAAAAAAAGGTCAGTATATGCTGTATCTTTGTCAACCGTTCTTTCAAAGACTTCATTGACAAAACTGACAGCTGGTATCGTGGATCTACAGGGAGAACTGCAAGAAGCCACCAACACCATGCGGGTCCATTAGGGATTGCCTGAAGGTTTTCTTCTCTCTCCGGCATTGATCCAAAGTGCTGAAGAATTTGGCTTCGAAATCTGTCTCTTAAATTCTGAAACCAGCTGCAGGCTTGAGAGTAAACCAAATCATGAAGCTCTCTGAGATTCTTACTCTCATCTTCATTCTCAACCTTAACATCTTCCAGATATTCAATGTCAGCAGTGCAATATCCATCTTTCATTCCTCTTTTTAAAACCCTAAACCGCTTTCCTCCAACTCTATCAACCACAGACCTTCCATCAGGTAAGAAATGCACGTTTCTCATTTGCAACATACAACCATAATCTGCAAAACTATTTTGTGTATCACTGACACACAATGCCAAACTGTTTGGTTCCAGTCTGCATACTTCTTTGAATCATCAATCTATATCTTGGCTCAAATACACGGAGAGGGCAAGGCACAGTGGGGTAGGCCATAGTACAAAGAAATATTGGAACATTCTTGGTCAAGTGTGAGAGTTCAGCAGTTTCTTCATCATATATTTTTTTTCTCTCAGACAGTTCATCAGGCAGATAATTCACTATTAATTCTTCCAACAGCTGTGTGACACAGTACCTCCTATCTGCTACATACTCTTTTAAGCTTTCTTTGCAAAGAGGACAATATGGTGCATGTTCTAAACAACGTTCAAGACAATTCTTACAGAATGAATGTCCGTAAGGGGTTGTTACTGGCTCAAAAAACCACCTCACGCAGACAGAACATTCGAAATCCGAGACATCGATTAATTCTTCTGGAATATCACCATAAGCTAAGGAAAACATACAGACTTCATTGGGAGTTTCTCCTTGTTTTTTAAGCTTATTTCTTCCATCTTCATTTACAATCACATCCTGTTCTAAAAGAGACCACTTTCTTTTCAGCAGAACACCTTTTTCTTGAACAGACAGAACAGGTTCTGAGGACACTCTTTTTAAACGGTCCTCTCTGGCAGGCGTTTCTGTTGAATGTATAGACTGTGCTGACCGAGCACGGTTTAAGCTTCCTTTGACGGGCTCTGAAGTGACCTCTGGTATTTCGTCACTCTGCTTTGGGCTAGGCTCACTGGGAGACTGAGACTCTTCCATCACTGAAGGAAAATCAAAAGGTCTGTTTTTAGTACATGGTAATGAACTCCAGGAAGATTCCTTCAGGCCTTCTTTTAAGGTTTCAGGTAATAATAAATCACATAAAATCTTTTGCACTTGCAGCTTTGCAGGTGCAACATCTTCATCAAGGGCTAAGCACTGAAGACAGAGTTGTAAGGCATCACCTAAAAAACCAGCATCATAGAGTACTTTTCCTTTCCTGAAGTAGACCTCAGACCAATCTGGAAGTTGAAAAAGAACTGCATTTAAATCTTCTATGGCTGCTTTAAACTCTTGGAGACCAGCATATGATTCCGCTCTGTACATTTTTACAATCAAGTCACTGGGCTCTGCTCGCAGCGCCTCGCAGGCGGCGGCCAAGGCCTCCCGGTAGCGCTCCTGGTGCAGCAGCTCCCCGAGTCTGCCAGCCGCCCGGGCCCGCTCGCGCTGGCCCGGGAACCACTTCTCCGCCAGGTGGTTGAGGACGACGCTGGTTCTGAAGTCTGAGGCGGCGATGGCGGCCGCCAGAGGCGGCGGCCGCGGGGCGGTCCCTTCAGCATCAGTGGCACTGGCGGT